CTGGAAAAAGAGAAGGAGAAGGGGCGAGGACCAACGTCTCTGGAGCAGACTCTATGTTCCCGTGTTAAAGGCTTTGAAAATACCACTTCATTTCATCGTCAGAACATGCCTGGGAGGTGGGGATTTCAAAAACAAAGGGACTGGTGTGTAAGATTTACAAAACGAATAAAGGCAGCATTTCAAAGCAGCGGAGGAAAGAAGAGATTATTCAAGGAAAGACTTTAATACAAAATTGGCCATGTATATGGAAACAGTCAAGTTGGACCCCTTACAGAGCATTAGAACTCCAAATGGAATTAATACAATAATTCGAATGAATATTTATATGAATCTGGGGTCAGGAGGTTTTTCTCTGCATAACACAGACAGCAGAGACTATAGAGGAAATACTGAGAGATCTGTCTCCGTAAAAACGTAAATGTTTAGCATGCCAAAAATAAATTAATAAAGTGAAATGAAAAACTGGGGAAACTATGTCCCACATGCTAACAGACGGAAATATAGGTTCACGACCTAAACAGACAATTCACAGGGGAGTGAAGTTTAATTTTCCTAGTCATCCCAGAAATAGGAATTAAGTCAAATTGAGGAACCATTTTTAATCTGCCAAATCATCAGACATTCGTTTCAAAAAAATGATGGTGTCCTGGGATGCCATCTTAAAACTGCTGATGCCAGAAACTGCCACCCTGACGGTGAGACACAGCGTTTGCATTCTAGGGCAGAAGGGGGAATCTGTTTGCAAAGAAGACTCTCCCTCATTCTGGATTATTCTAGAACAGTGGTCGGCAAACTCATTAGTCAACAGAGCCAAATATCAACAGTGCAACGATTAAAATTTCTTTGGAGAGCCAAAATTTTTAAACTTAAACTAGATAGGTAGGTACATTGTTAACTTAATTAGGGTACTCCTAAGCTGGCCTTTGCTAAAAACGTCCTCAATCTGAGGGGTCGACCTCAGCGAACGTACCCCCACTTCTAACGTCACTTCTTCAAAATAGACTCGCCCAGGCCGAAAACCGACTTCTGCGCATGGGCCACGAAGTTTCAATCGCACTGTACGTTCGGGCCCACACATGGTATTTTGTGGAAGAGCCACACTCAAGGGGCCAAAGAGCCGCATGTGGCTCGCAAGCCGCGGTTTGCCGACCACTGTTCTAGAAAGACCACCGTGGGGGCCCTCTTGGTCAGGCAGCTGTGAAGTAAGAGCCTCCTGTTGCTCTTGGGGCCGCCCGAAGCCAGCTGCTTTAGACTAAGATGCTACTATTCCATTCAGTTACATGAACTGGGACTGTTGATTAAAAAACTTTTTTAAAAAATTGATTTGTTGCTCCACTTATATATGCATTCATTGGTTGATTCTTGTACATGCCCTGACTGGGGATCAAACCCACAACCTTGGCGTATTGGAATGATGCTCTAACCAACTGAACTACTGGCCAAGGAAGAACTTTTTTTCTAATCTGAATTTTGGACTGCTCTATGCAGGAAATGTGTGTGTGTGTGTGTGTGTGTGTGCATGCATCTGTGAACGGGAATGGCCGAGGGAGCAGCCACTGGAGGGATCTGCCCAGGTTTAACAAGGAACCACTGCCCTGGGCTGCCGGGCTGTAGGCGGTGGGGCCAGCCTCAGCTTGGAATATGCAGCCATATGCTGTGATCGTCCGGCTCTACCAGGCCCCATGGCGAAGGTGGGGGTTCCCCCAAGAGAAGGAATATGCCCAGTCAGTGTGGCAGGCTCAGGAGCTGAAGCAGGCTGTGGACGGGAGGCCCAGATTTCTGCTCCCTACGGTGGGGGCTGGGGAGGGCTGCAAGAGGGACCCAGCCAGGGGCATTCACACTGGGAGGTCAGCCAGTTGGCACTGAGGCTGATGGAGGCTGAGAAAGCAGCCAGTGTGGCCGGGTGGGGAATCTCAGACTGCGGACTCTGGTAGCGGAGCCCTCCAGTTTAAACCTACCTTCTGTTCTCCCCAAACCTGCGTGAGGGTTAGTTAGGCGGGTGGTAGTTGTGCTTTAGGGAATTCAGGGAGGGCGCCGAGCCCAGAGAAGCCAGCCTGGAGCTGAAGCCTGGAGCTGTCAGCAGATGGCAGGAGGTGACTCATTTCTGGGGAGCACGGCAGTTGTCCAGAGAAAGGGAGGTGGCTGAAGTGACGGGCCGGCTGGTCAGAGCAAGGAGCAGGCAGCATTGCTTGGACGTCGCCCGCTGAAGCGAACCTGCGAAGGCTTGGTCTCATGGCCTGACACACAGGCTGTTTGCATGTCAGCATTAAAGAAAGAGCAGCGTGGCCCTGGGGATGTGGGATTTGAGGACCCCTGGCTACAGGTAGGAGGCAGGAAAGCCCTTTTATTTGCTGGGTGCGTGGAAATTGTAGCTCCAGACTGGATGACAACTTTCCAACTGCTAACAAAACCCTTGAACATATGCACACTCTGTGACCCAATAAAACCGTTTCTAGGAATATATCCCAAGCTCAAAGAAAGGTTACTGTATAACAAGGATCAGTGAGCCTGGATGGGGAACGAAAACATTACATGTTTATTTTCAGTGAAATTTAGCTCTTCCCTCACTCACGAATGTAAGGCAGCAAAACACAGCAGAATGGGCAATGCCCGTGGCACGGCAGAGCTCTGGGGCACTCCCCACCACTGCGAAGTCGGTCCTCGTTAGCCCTCTCGCTAGGAGAGCTTGCTGCTAAATGCATTAATAAGCACGTCTATAACTATAGCCCAATATTTTTGTTTCAAAATAGACTTTATTTTTCAGAGCAGTTTTAGGTTTACATAAACATCCAGCAGGACAAACAGAATTCCCACATACTTCCTGCCACCCTGCCCCCAGAGTTCACCCTATGTACTAACATCCTACAGCAGTGTGGTACATTTGTTCCCATTGATAAACCAATAGTGAGCAGAGTGTACATCAGGGCTTGCTCATTGTGTGGTCCAGCTCTATGGGTTTTGACAAATGCACCTCATGTATCCAGGGGTACAGTATCATACAGAGAAGCACACTGCCCTGAAAGTCCCCTGCACTTCACCCATCCATCGAACCTTCCTCTCTCTTCCTGAACCTCTGGAATCACTGATTTTTTTTTATGTCTCTAGTTTTGCCTTCTCGGGAATGTCATCCAGTACGTGTCCTTTTCAGATAGTCTTCTTTCACTTCGTACTATGCATTTAAGGTTCCTCCATGTCTTTTTGGCTTTATAGCTCATTTCTTCTTATTTCTGACTAGAGGCCTGGTGCACAAAAAATTGTGCACTGGGGTGAGGGGTTCCCTCAGCCCGGCCTGCCCCTCTCAGGGTCCGGGAGGCCTCAGGGGATGTCCTACTGATGGCTTAGGCCTGCTCCGTAAGCCACAGTCTGGCCTTCCTCTGCGGAAGGCCAACAGGCGGATCAGGGGAAGGTGCCGTGCCCATCACCCTTCCGCAGCTGCCTCTGCCTGCCGCCACAGCTGCCTGCCCTCGGCCCTCACAGCCACCGTGGCTTTGTCCGGAAGGACGTCCGGAAGGATGTTCGGCTGTCCGGTCTAATTAGCATATTATGCTTTTATTATTATAGATAACATTCCAATGTCTGGATGGACCACAGTTGTTTACCCATTCACCTACGACGGACATCTTGGTTGCTTCGGTTGTGGCAATTATGAATAAAACTGCTATACACATCTGTGTGCACGTTATTGTGTGGATGCGACTTGCAACTCATTTGGATAAATATGCAGGAGCACAGTTGCTGGGTTATACAGTAAGATGATGTTTAGCTTCTTAAGAAACCAGCCACAGTCTTCCAAACTGGCTGTGCCATTTGGCATTCCCACCAGCACTGGATATACTACGGCCACTCCACACCCTTGCCAGCTTTTGGTGGTGTCAGTGCCTGGGATTTTAGCCACCCAATAGGTATGGAGTGGTGTCTCATTTTTGTTACATTTCAACCCCCTAATGACATAGGATGCGGAGCATCTTTTCACGTGCTGAAGTACCATTTCTGCTCCAGGTTTAACTGCAGCTTCTGTTGGCAGAACCCCTCCCTCATGGACTCAGACAGCCTGTGTGCGTAACACCCTCTTCCAAACCTCAGCAGCTTAAAACAGCGGTCATGCACCTGTGGGGGACGTGGGGTTCAGCTGAGTGCGGCTGGGTGCGCCAGGCCCCATGGCCGGGCTGCTCTGCTCTGTGTACCTCACACCTTCTTTGGGACACGGCAGCCCAATTTAAATATATATTTTGATAAATGTGTTTCAATATAATTGGTTTCTGTTGTAATCTTATGGGTACTATTTTATGCATTTAACCCCATCCCAGCACTTGTCGCACTGCTGTGTTCCCACTGGACTGTGAGCTCCGAGGGCAGGGATTGTGTTCACATTTCTTTCTTTCTTTTTTTTTTTTAATATATTTTATTGATTTTTTATAGAGAGGAAGGGAGAGAGATAGAGAGTTAGAAACATCGATGAGAGAGAAACATCGATCAGCTGCCTCCTGCACATCTCCTACTGGGGATGTGCCCGCAACCCAGGTACATGCCCTTGACCAGAATCGAACCTGGGACCCCCGAGTCCGCAGGCCGACGCTCTATCCACTGAGCCAAACCGGTTTCGGCCACATTTCTGATTTTTTACTATGAAAAACTTCAAACATATACATAAAGAGAGAGAACGGCACCATGAAACCCCACACACCTGCCACCTCCTTCCCTCCCTCCCCCCCATTACAGATTTTGTCTCATTGGTCCCATCTCTCCTCTTTTTCTTTTTTTCTTTGCTAAAGCATTGGAAAGCGAGCCATTTCCCCTACGTACTTCATCGTGCCTCACTGAGAAATTCAGTAGGTAGTTTTTAAACCCATGAGTCACTGTTTGTTCAGAGCTATTTATAAAAGCCCCCACTGGAAACAAGCCTGTTAGCTCACATTTGAAAATGAGGATGTATCCAGTCAAAGGACCATGACACACCCATTAAGAGAATCAATGCGAAGACCGCACAGCCACGTGGCAAAATGCTTGTGACCAAGAAAAAGCACAGAAAGGCCAAAAGCCGGGTCCAAGGGGGTCTCTGCATCTCACTGGCAACCAAGCCCGAAGCCCCGCCTGGCTTTCTGGCCAGAGTGGACAAAGCAAAAAAGGAGGTGAGGGTGAGGATGGTGGGTGGTGGCGAATGTGCGATTCTCCCTCCAGAATGTTCTTCAGTGTCCTTGGCGTCATCTTTCCAAGCTGTGACTAGCTCACCAGAGCTGCTGCCACGGCTGTGAGGCCGAACAAAGGCCTGAGGAATGTGCCGGCCCCGCGGGGAGCTGGCCGGAGGCACAGAAAGGCTGGCTGCGGTCCCTGGCAGTTCCCAGAAGGCGGTTGACAGGCATGACTGTTCATTTTTCTGGGGCCTGGGGTTCGGAAAGGTCGCGCTGCAGTGGCAGGGGGTTATCTGATGTTCCCGGCCTTGTGTGCACCTCACACATCTCGGCGCCTGTGATAGGCCCCCGAGCTCACTCCAGCCCTACACAGTTTTCAAGATCAATGGTTGTGGTATCTTTGTCCCCCTGGCAGAAGCCAGTCTTGGATTGATTACAAACGCATGTGACCCATGAGCTAGTCCTGGGAAAACAGGGTCCACTTCCCAGCTAGTTTCCCAGGCACCTATTCCTAGAGGAGAAGGAATAGCAGTTCCTTGTATTCACCCCCATCTCCTGGGAGCTCAGTGCCCTGCAAACAGGAGGCGCCAACTTATGCTTGTTCTCCCCAGTGCCAGGCTGAGCCCAGTGTCTTCTTACTACCTTGAAAATGAGACCTGAGTCCTAGCCAGTTTGGCTTAGTGGATAGAGTGTTGGCCTGCAGGCTGAGGGTCCCGGGCTCGATTCCAGGCAAGGGCACATACCTTGGTTGAAGGTTCGATCCCCGGCCCTGGTTGGGGCGTGGGGAAAACAACCAATCGATGTGTCTCACTCACATTGATGTTTCTCTCTCTGTCTCTCCCCCTCCCTTCCTCTCTCTAAAAATCAGTGGAAAAATATCCTCAGATGAGGATTAACACACACACACACACACACACATACATGACCTGAGAAATTTTGGAAGTAGGGCTGGCCATAGTGCAGTGTTTAGGGAATCAGGTACGGAAAGAGGGGTGGGGGTGTCTGGAAGCCCCAAGCTGAAGTCCCAGCTCCCCTCTTAAGTCACTTGGGGACCTTGCAACTGACCTCACCTACCAACATGTCCATTCACCTCCCCCCAACTCAACCAATCTGAAGCCACACACATTCGCTGAGCAGCCTGGCTGGGCCTGGGAGGACCAGAGCTGACTGCCACAGGTCCCGCCCGCGGGAAGGACACTGCTCATAACTATGGCTTCACATGATCAAAAATGACTGAGGGAGTAATTCTTGGGGTGGGAATCAGAGGGATTTCTGGGAAGGGCTTTCAATTGCTAAGAGCCTTGGAGATGGAGTAGAAATTCACCACGTAGTCAAGTGTGGGAATAACAGGTACAACAACAGAGGCAGGAAACTGGCTGTTTGGGAAACCTAAGGCTGAGGGGTGAGGTGCCTGGAAGGTCGGCTTCCCTCCCAGGGTTGCCAGGAAAGGCCTGGGAGTTTTCAACTACGGGGTTTTTACCTACAAGGCAGAAAACCCTTCTGACACCAAATGTGTGGGTTCCCCACAGCAAGCAATTCTCCATCCTCTGCAGACACTGACTGGGTGCCCTGTAATTTAAATCCCAAGAGTTAGTACAGACCCCACCAGTTAAGGGCGGATGCCCCTCTTCAGACACCAGTCGCAAGTAGTGGATCCCCAGGTTACCCACACTCTGTTCAATTTGGCTACAAATCAGGGGTTCTCATGACCCCCTCCTCAGATTCCATAATCTGTAATAATAAAAGGGTAATATGCTAATTAGACAGGACATCTTCCGGATGTCATTCTGGATGTCCTTCCTGATGAAGCCGGGGCTGGAGGGAAGCCAGCCTGGGTCCCAGGTGCCTGCGGGCGGCTGGAGGAGGGAAGCCCGGGTCCCGGGTGCCAGAGGGAAGCCGGTGCCGGCAGCTGGGGGAAGGAAGGCCTACTCTTGCACAAATTTTCGTGCATCGGGCCTCTAGTATGCTGTAGTAGCTCACAGAACTCAGGGAAACACTTTACTTACTATTGCCCGTTCATATAAAGGACACAAACGAACAGTCGGATAAAGAGGTAATAGGGGACAATCTGGTAGGGTCCATAGAGTACAAAAGCTTCTGCCCCTGCAGAGTTTGGGGTGTGCCACCCTCTGGGCACGCGGATGAGTTCGAAACCCCTTCATTGGGGTTTTTTTAGAGGTCCCATTATGTAGGCACGATTGATTAAATCTCCGGCCACCCGTGGTTGACTCCATTCCCAGCTCCTCTCTCCTCCCCAGAAGTGGGAGTTGGGGGGTGGAAAGTTCCAACCCTCTAATCACAGGGCTGGTTCCTCTGACAAACACCGCCCCCCCACCCCCCCAGTCCCCCAAGTCACCTGGGCTTTCAGCCCCCAGTCATCTCATTAACAAAGTGCAGGATGGCGGAAGATGCTTCTAGAACACGCACACTCGCCGTCCCTTCCACTGGGCCTGGCCTTCCCTTACCTGGACCACCGCCCTCCCATGCCACGTCCACGAACGGCTCTTCCTAGCACTTAGCACCACTTGAGAGACTTATGCGTGTCAATATTGTCCTCCCCAGTTAAAAGGTTAGCTTTTTGAGGCCCTGTCTTGCTTGCGACTTCACCCCTAAAGGGCCAGGCATGGTCACCCAAGGACTCCTTACTGAGTGAATAAACAGTTCACCCTCTGCCACCCGTGTCATGTTCATAAAGAACCTCAATCCGGCTGCCAGGTGGAAGAGCGCGCCTGCGCAACGCTCCGCGCTGGCCTGTTCCGCC